TTAATTTTTACTCAACCCTGTAAAAATCAAAATGTAACAATTTCCCCCTCCAATTTCACCATGGTCCTTTTTCCCTATAGCCAACCTTGTAGCCTCTCATTTCTCTTACAAACATAAAAAACGCAGCACCAAATCTGATCTTCATCAACCCAAAAACCTCCCATATTCCAATTCCCTCCTAAATTTGATCTCTCCTTTCTTTATTCAAATCCAATATTTATTGGTGTGTACTTTTATTGGGAATCGTCCCCCTCCAAGGAACAGGATAGACGATCAAGACGACACTTAGCCTTCGGAATCTGACCTAAACGACTTTTGGCCAATGCCGAGGAACCTTTTTGTAGGAAGGGCGGAAGGGGAACAATTGAGTGGTTCAGACGATGACAGAACACCAACTAGATACACAACACAACCTGAAGAGCAGTTCCAAATTCCAACAGGAACAAGGCAGAGGCACCTCATGCATAATACATCACAACGTGGAAAACCCATGGAATCTATTTGGACATCCAAGCTGGAAGAAAGTACTAGGGTCTTAGAAATGGCCATGGGAAGAATTCTCTCCCGCCTGATTCCTGATGACCTCTTAGTTCCTTTGTTGACTAAGGGTGATTGGCCTGCAGAAGTTGCAACCCACAATTCTCCAGCCTTGAGCAATGTAGTAGTGCTGACCAAGCCAAGGGGAAGTGGGAAGTCTAATCTTGAGCCCAGCTTGTCAAAACATAGCAAAGAATTGATGAGGAAAAATGCAGAACTTGAAAAGCAACTCAAAGACATACAGAAGTCTGTTAACGAGCTGAAAAGTCCGAGGTGGCGTCAACAAGCTCTAGATTTAGATAGCGCCCCTCTCAACCTATCCATTTCCATAGAACCATATTAGGAAGGCTTCAAGATCCCTCATTTAGAAACATACGATAGTTCTAGCGACCCAAATGAACACTTGCATACCAATCAGGCCATTATGAAAATCCAGAATGCAATTGATGCTTTGATGTGTAAAGTGTTCCCAACAACTTTAAAATCAATTGCTAGAAGATGGTATCACAAACTTCCCAGGCATTCCATAACGTCATACTTTCAGCTCGCTACGTTGTTCTCTAACAAGTTCATGAGCCAACGAGAAATAAAACACAAAACTACCGAGCTAATGTAAGTACATTAAAAGGAAGGGGAATCACTAAGGGACTACATGCAACGGTTTAATCAGGCCACCCTTGACATTGATAATGTCCCTGACACCATCTGCTTATATGCCTTGTTGCATGGCTTGAAACTTGGTCGATTCCTGGATGACCTGTTAGAAATCCACCAAAGTCATGAAATGAAGTAAATGACAGATTGACAAACTTCATTTTATTAGAAGACTTTTAGTCATCTAAATGATGAGTTGAAGATAAACAAAATAAAGAGCACAAACAACTAGAGGGAAGGGAAGAGAAGATAAAACAGAAAGTTGTTGATCACAGAGGAAAGCCACCCAATTTTCCAAAGTATGCGAATTACATTATGTTGGGCTCGTCAAGGTCTCAAATCTTGGCATAGATTCAGCATTGGATCAAGAGGCTCCCCTTTATTCTTCATGATTCACCCCAAGCAGATAGAAGTAAATACTATGATTACCGTCGGGGATACAACCACTATACAGACGATTGCCAAAGCCTCAAGGATGAGCTAGAATATTTGGCTTATAGTGGGAAACTAGAAGAACATATCCAAAAGTCCTATCCATAGCAGCCTAGTCAAACTCATTATGTACAAGATTACAGTCGACCTTAAGCGTAGGGGTACTAGGTCGGCAATAACCAAAGCATGCATCAAGGGAACTAGCTTTCCTCTAAGCACGACAGAGGTTACAAAGGACATTAATTTAATAAGCAAGGGTAAGGACAAAGGACCATTACTCACAGCCAAAGGGATGACAAAGGATTAGGATATACTGGAATACCCTCGCCTTTGGGCACAATAAATATGATTCTAGTGGCATGCATTCAGGATATTTGAGTGCCAGAGGTCGTAAAGTTTACGCTCATCAAGTAATGACCGCAAACAAGAATAGGCTCTTAAAGTGAACATCGAAGAGGCGGAATGGGAAAACACACCCATTACATTCAGCTCGGCAGATTACAAGTGGTTAGGGGGAGAACCTGATGTTATTGTGCCTCACGCTGATCCGTTTGTGGCAACCGTCCATATAGGCAATCACAATGTCAATAAGATCTTCATTCACACGAGTAGCTCTCCAGACATTCTATATTGGAGCTACTTTCAGAAGATGTAACTGAATCCAACCTCTTTACAGAAGTATAAGGGGCCTATATACGGGTTTGACAATCAGCCCGTCCTTGTTGAGGGGATAGTTACCCTCCCCATATATGTGGGATTTGAACCTTGATTTAGGATGGCCTTGGTGAGCTTCTTTATTGTTAAAATGAAATTAGCTTTAAATGCCATAATTGGGAGGGCTACGCTCTGCGAATTGAAGGTTGTCATCTCCTAACCACACCTATGGATGAAATTCCTGACGCCCCATGGCATAGGAGTGCTAAAGGGAAACCAGAAAAATGGCCAGAATATGCTATCAAGATGCTTTCAAGAAGGTGGAGCTCACTACTACACCTAAAATTCAACCTTCGCCAGCTCCCCGGTTAAACCAACTAGGCCTTCAAACAATGAATATCGCTAACATAGATCATCAACCTGAAAACATAGAACAAAAGGCTGAACTAGTAGAACCTATGGAAACAGTTTTGTTGGATCCTGAACACCTGGAAAAAATTGTGAGAATCGGAACTAAACTTACGCCAAAGGAGAAGAAAGATCTTCTACAATTTTTAAAATCTAATAAAGATGTTTTTGCTTGGACAACATGATTGTCACTAGTGTACGAGCTGAGGACCACATCGATGACCTAGATGAAACATTTTAGAATTTACGTCAAGCACAAATGAAGTTAAACCCTCTGAAATGCACTTTTGCTATCGAATTGGGCAAATTTTTGGGGTATGTAGTTTCCAAGAAAGGAATTGAAGTGAACCCAGACAAGATTTAGGCTGTTGAACAAATGGAACCCCCTAAGATGGTGAAAGATATACAACGTCTAATAGGTCGTCTCACAGCCCTACATAGGTTCATTTCCAAGTCGGCAGAACAATGCCTCTCATTTTGAAAGTCCTAAGAGAGCCTAAGAATTTTCAATGGACAAGCGAGTGCCAATAGGCTTTCAAACAACTGAAAAATTACTTGGCATTGTCACCACTCATCTTTAAACCGGTTGACTGGTTGAGGGAGAAAGACTATACAGGTACTTAGGTGTAGCAGACGAGGCAGTGAGCTCAGTATTGTTAAGAGAGCAAGACAGGTGCCAAAGACCAATTTGTTATATGAGCAAGGTTTTACAAGGCACAAAATGGAACTACCCGATTGTTGAGAAAGCTGCCTTTGCCCTTGTTTACTCTGCTCGAAAGTTAAGGGCATACTTTTAGTGTCATCAGGTCATCGTCTTCACTGATCTCCCCTTGAAGAAAATATTACAAAAACCTGAACCCTCAGGTTGGCTAATTGGATGGGCTGTGGAGCTTAGTGAATACAACATTAGGTTTGAGCCCCGCACCATTATAAAAGGCCAAGGCCTAGCAGATTTTTTAGTTGAGTGCTATCCTGTCGCTATTGAAGAAGTTATGGCTTCACATCCCATATAGGCCTTGTACATAGATGGAGCTATGAATACTGAGGGCTCGGGGGTTGGAGCGTTATTAATTGGACTAGATGGGTTCAAGTTAGAGCACACTCTGAGATTCAACTTTCAAGCAACTAATAATGTTGCTAAATATGAAGCACTCATTTACGGCCTCAAGCTGGCAATTGCGTTGGGGGTACAAAACATAAGAATTTTCAGCGACTCTCAGCTCGTGGTGAACCAAGTCAGTGGGAACTGTGATGTTAGAGATCCTCAGCTGGCTCGCTATTATTTCGTGGGTGCACAGTTGAAACAAACTTTGTCTCATTTAGAATAGACAAAATACCATGAGCTAATAATAAGCGAGTTGATGAGTTGTCCAAGTTGGCCTCATCGCAAGACGTCAGTCTATAGCGAACTACTTACATTGAGATACTTAATGCTCCGAGTTATGTTGACTCAATATTTGACTGTCAAGTGTTAAGTATCGATTTGTTGTCACCTAGTTGGACCACACCCTTGATTGATGGTTAAATGCTAAATTTGGTCCCTCAACTTTATAGAGTTGCACTTTTTTGATCCCTCACCAATTTTTTGCACTTTTTTGATCCCTCAACTCTAAGAAATGCACAACATTGGTCCTTCCGTCAATTTAGACTGTTAACTCCATCTACGTGGTATTTTTTATATTTTTTTTAATGACATGGAGAGTAAAACTTAAAAAGGTATTGATATGGACAAATGGGTGAAGGTCTCTCAAATGGGTCTCACATCACCTGCAAACAAAAAAAAAAAAACAAAAACTCTAGAATGCTCTCTCATCTCCATGTCATCTACAAAATCCATCTTAACCTATATCATCTTCTTCTCTTAATGCTCTCTCATCTCCACTCCATCAAATTAATTCCTCAATAAGTAATATCAATCAAAGTCTAATCAAATTCCAACAAAAATGCAATTAAATTATAAATCAACTCCCAAATTTATTAAGAACTGAGAATGGGAATCGAAAGAAGAATGAAAAAACATGGTACTTAAGAGCACCTAGGGTTCAATGGAACCTAGTAGATCTGGGTTCCCATGAACCCAATAGAGCTGGGTTTTGTTGAACAGCTAGGTTTGTTGGGTTTCGTTGATACCCAACATGGTTGTGCTGGGTTTATTGATATCCAACCAAAGGTATTACACCCCATAGCAAACCGCATACAAGAGCTACCACTTGCCGAATCCAATGCAAAACATCTCGCAATTGATCCTGCTCCCATAATAATAATAATAACAAAAAAAATCAGTAATTTAAATTATACCAATAAAAAGTCTAATTCACACATGATTATCTACAAAGAGTCAAAAACTAATTTTGACACAAAATAAGTGAACCCATCAGTGGATTATCGTGGAAAAGAGCATGAATTAAGCATCAAAAGCAACCATTTTACAATAACTACTAACGTTGAATATCCAAAAACAAGTAGAAAATGAAACCCATTACCAAATCCTGGAACATAGTCAAACAAAAGGAATCAATCAAAGAAGAGAATCCCATGATGAGGAAGTTCAAAATCAACGAACCTTGTCCCAAGAAGCGTCTAGATCTAACAACTTTACTAAAATGCTTCATTGTAGATCTAATCCAAGCTTATTGGAGATTGGTCGTTTAGGTGTAAGATTAATTTTATGTTTTTCCAATTTTATTCCCACTATTCTTTTGACCAAGAAAAACAAAAAAGAAAATGATAAAAAATCTGTGCTAGGTTCGTCGATACCCAGCACAGTTGTGTTGGTTCGATCGAACCTAGTAGCTAGGATTTATCTGGGTTCGGTGGGTAGGAAAGAAAGAAAGAGAAAGAGAAAGAGAAAGAGAAAGAAAGAAGGGGAAGAAGATGGATTGAGAGGGTAAGGGTAATAAGGTAATTTTGTTTGTTTTTATTTTTTTAATTAAAATACAAATATTAATTTGATGTGGCATTTTTAGTTATTTATGTAATATAATTATAATATATAATATTGCTACATCATCAAAAGAATTAAAAGAAAATGTCACATGAAATTATTTAACAGCCACATCATGCTAAACTGATGGAAGGATCAACGTTGTGCATTCCTTAGAATTAAGGGATCAAAAAAGTGCAAAAAATTGTTGAGGGACCAAAAAAGCGCAACTCTATAAAGTTGAGGGACCAAATTTAGCATTTAACCTTGATTGATTATCTACATAATGGTGGCCTACCTGAGGACTCATTAGAGGCTTGTTTGATTAGACGATGAACAACACATTTTACTTTACTTGATGGTCGATTGTATAAACGGGCTGTCTCTATGCCTTTATTACGTTACCTCACTCCTTATGAAGCTGAATATGTTGTAAGGGAAGTACACGAAGGAGTGTGTGGCACCCACATTGGAGGAAAGACTTTAGCTCGAAAACTTCTTAGGCAGGGATATTACTAGCCTAATATGGTTTAAGATGCACAAAACTATATTAAAAAGTGCCTGACCTGCCAGTTTAATTCTAATGAAATTCACATTCCAAGTAACCCAATTCATTCAAATGTAACATGTGATTCTATATATTTCTACAGCAGGATCTAGACTAAAACGTATCTCATTTGACACAAGAGAAACATTATCTTCCCTTACATCACCTTGGCCTTTTGCGCAGTGGGGGGAGATTTGCTCAATCCATTTGTTAAAGGCAAAAGGGGTTGTACACACCTTATTGTTGCTGTGGATTACTTTAATAAGTGAATAGAGGCCGAGCCATTATTAACGACAACAGTGAAAAAAGTGGAAGAATTCTTATTCAGCTTGGTGTTTTGCAGGTATAGTGATAAAATTAAGATTAGGTGTATCGGACAAATACATTAATCCGGTAACTTAACCTGCTAGTTTATATATAGGTTTGGCATTCCTCGGCATATCATTATTGATAATGGTCCTCAATTTCGAGCTGCTACTCTTAGGTCGTTCTGTGGTGATTGTGGAATTGAACTCGTTATGACATTTGTATATACACCACAAGCAAATGGCCAAGTGGAGTCAGCCAACAAAACTATTTTGCGTGGCCTCAAAACACGTGTTATGGCCACCCAAAAAAACTAGGTGGATGAGCTAAATAAAGTACTATGGTCATGCTGGACAACACCCAACTCGACTACTGGAGAAACTCCTTTCTCCCTCTCTTATGGAACTGAGGCTGTCATCCTTGTAGCAATAGGTTTATCGAACTGGAGAGTTGCTCGATTTAATGATTCCATTAATGAACAACATCTCAAGGAACACCTAGACTTGTTAGAAGAAATCAAGGAATCGACACGAATGAGAAATGTGGCCTATCAAAATATGGTCACCAGATTTACAATAAAAGAGTTTATGCTCACCAACTCCAAGTGGGTGACCTAGTTTTGCGCAAGGCTGGGCTCACTAATACTTATGCACACATGGATAAGCTCACCCCCAATTGGGAGGGTCCCTATAAAGTAGCTGTAATTAAATGACTTAGGACATACAAGTTAAAAGACTCACAAGGTCATCAAATGCCGTTTACTTGGAACATGCAGAATCTTATGAAGTATTATACTTAGCATGTTCTATTTTTTTTTTTTGGCAATTACAAAAGTGTAATCTATACAAGTAAACATTAATAAAGTTACAAATTTTGCTAGATAAATCTCTTTAATTTCATTTCTGTCAAGTTCAATTTCCAAAAGCAGAAGGCATTAATGCAGTTCAAAATATCCTAATTCAAAAAAAATAAAAAAAATCAAACACCCTACACCCTAATCCTCTATTAGATCTATAGCAAGCATAGTCGTCACAGCATCAATACGAGGAGAGGCGGGCTGAGACATCACAGGAGCGATTACCGGCTTGGGTTCTTTAGAAGTAATTGCTTCTTCAATTTTAGCATCAGGTGCTCTAGCAATACAGGCTTTACAGCTAGGCAAAGAATCCCCGTCTTCCCCATCTTTAGAGATCACAGGGGGAAAAATAGGAACCCCATCCTTGTTCGAATTCCACCCCACCCGTACGGCCATCTCAAAGGGAGGAAGCAAGCTTTTCCCATTCTCGTCAATGCTTTCTGCCTCTATGAATGTCAACTCACTGATGGGGAAATAAGGTCGGTGCTTCAACACCTTTTCTTGCACATCGTCATATATTTGCATTGTAGTGTTCATCGATGCAATCACCAAAACATCCTGAAATGCACCCGACTCTACCAACCACTCCACTCCACTCCACTCCTTGGGTGCGAGCAATGTCAATGGATCGTTGAAACATTCTCTTTGTTTCAGCCATTGCCTCTAGTGCATGACCAACATTCTGGTTGGCCCTTGTTGCCCGGAGCTTAAGCACACTCAATTCCTCTAGAGCAGCGTCTCTCTCAGCTTCTGTTTTCACCGCATGGTCATTAGCTCATTTTAACTCTTGTTGGGGAGCCAAGATTCTGCTTTCTTTCTCAGCCTGTGCCCTTTCCAATTCTGCTTTCAAGTCAGTCACTTGATTTGCTAACTCCTCTACCCAGCTTTCAGTTGAGGCTACCTTGTTAGCCATCTCAGAACTTGGAAGACGGTTCACCTTGTCTTCCACCTGGCCTTCGTCTAGGTAAGCTGCTTGCAGCCTTGTTCGAGCTTTCTTACTTGCCCCCTAACCGCCTGTTGACATTCGAACAGCGCTACGGCATAATTGAAAGCCTATCGTTGAGATTGTGTTATCAATTTACGATACATACATCAAATGATCAAAACAAATGTCTGATAGTAGCACTTACGTCCATTAGTTTAAGCATCGCAACACTTCCTCCATTCTGCTGCACAAAGTTCTTCGCCCTTTGTCGATCCACATGAGGAATGAAATTATGCATACCCTGTACCATTGGCGTTTGACAATCCGTCTTTGTGTTGCTGAAGCCCTCTGGATATGCAATTCTAGGCCCCTGCACCTATACCGTTGGCTGCGCGGTTTCGGCGCCACTACCAGATATTGTAAGAGGAGGATCTGACACATGAACAAGGGTCGAATGAGCCCCAGAGTTGAATCTTCACCACATGAGAGGCTGCATGTCATCTTTGGCCTCCAACTCTTCACGCTAGCACCCCCACAAATTTGTAGACAAAGGCTCAGCTCGGTGCTTAGCATGCCCTCTGGCGGACGAGTTGGTACCCTTCTCCTTGTGAGATGAACTACGAGGAGGTTAGGTTACTCATTAAAATGCATCAATCTGTGCGAGATAGTCTTGGTGCAATGACCTCGTGACCTTAGTGCCTGCTCTCGTTTTCTCTCCAGCATGCCACTCATCTCTCCTGCACAAACAAATGCATAAGACTTAGCTCGGTCAAATCTTAAGGTTTACAAAAGTTCTTGCTGTACATGAATTGCATACAGTACACTCTCTTCTATGCTGGTTATCCTGGGAATACCCACAACCCATCTTTCCATTGTTATTGCTGGGTGTGACCTTTAAACATGAATCCCCAGAACGTAAGGGATGATGGTTACCAAAGCCATTGCTGGCACTTAAACTGGTGCTACTCTTGGGTGTGATAGCTTTTGGCAAAATCTTGTAATGTCGACAGCACTATTATCGCAATTTGCTCTACAGAAACAACCCCTTTTTCTTCTTCCCTTCCCTGGTTACCCCGAAGTTCTCTAACCTCTCTAAAAAAGTCCATGTTTACCTGAAGGTTTTGCTTCACTCTCTTGGCTCGAAAATTTGTTGGAAGACTTGGATGCTTTCACAATAAAGGATGGCAAAAACGCTGCAAAACAAAAATGGCCAAAGTAAAATGCCAGGCCTTTCTAGTTCTTTCTCCATTCCTGAATTCACACATTTTTTATTTTTGTACATGCTTTTGATGCCACCAATTAAAAGCTTACACGTGGCAACCATCTATGGCCTAGCGTGTGACTTCCATCGGTTTTAGCTATCATGTCTCTTCAAATGCTGAGCCAGCATTTATTACGGGGTGGCAAAGGGATATCAACTATATCTACTCAGCGATTTGCTCTATTTCAAATATCACATGGATGAGCTTGTCACAGGTAAGCTCGGCATGAGCACGTTACATATCACCTCGTTCGATACCACCTCATCTTGTCAATTGTATCTCCTCAGGGATTTGCTCTATTTCAAATTTAGAAAAATCACCTGGATGAGCTTGTCATATCACCTCATTTTCAGGAAGCACCACTTTCGAGGAACTAAATTTCCTTGAAGATTTACTCTATTTTGGGGTTCAAAAAATCACCTTGTGAGCTTGTTTAACATCAACTGGTTCAAATCGCAGATACGTAGTTCAATTTTACATGAATTAGATTACTTCGGATTGCTCAGACACAACCATGTCCTTGAAAGTTTCCCTCTCGGGGATTCAGTTTAACTATACCACGACTTATTCAGGCCATGCATTCATGATGAAATGCGTTTCTCATTCTATAATCCCTTTCCCAATTCGACGATTAATGAGGTCATTCAATAACCCAACAGGCAGTGAGTTGTACTCTTCAGGTCCTGTATTCACATTAGGCCACGAATGCTATCATTCCAATTTGTCAAGCAAACGTTGAGGGGGAGTAATGTCAGGAATGGGGCCAACAATCAACATTGGGTCTCATACAGAAGATCCAATGGTTTATCCCACGACCCAAAGCCGAACCTGGTAAAAACATGCCCACGTGGAGGTTTACATGTGGATAAGTCAAATGTTTACACGTGTAGGCTATTTTCACATACCCCCATCCACCTCCATTTCAAGGTAATAACTACACTACGTTTCTCTCTCTATAAAATATTGAGTATTGCTAACTTGACCGTCGAAGTGTTTTTGCGAGAAAACATCTTCAAGTATTTAAGGTGTTGTAGCAGTTGAAGATCTCTACAGTTGCCCAAACACAAACTAAATGAAGTTGTAAATAAAAGAAATAACCAATAAACTAATGTAAAAAAGAAGAAGAAGAAGAAGTTGTTTTAATTTTTACTCAACCCTGTAAAAATCAAAATGTAACAATTTCGCCCTCCAGTTTCACCGTTGTCCTTTTTCTCCATAGCCAAGCTTGTAGCCTCTCCTTTCTCGTACAGACAAAAAAAAAAAAAAAAAAACGCAGGACCAAATCTCATCTTCATCAAGCCAAAAACCTCCCATATTCCAATTCTCTCCTCAATTCGATCTCTCCTTTCTTTATTCAAATCCAATATTTATCACCCCATATCCATCCCCGAACAACCCATCATTCGGCGATTTTTAAATTACGTTTTTTCTGATTTAATCTTGCATTTAATCGGTAGAGTTTGCAGAATTCAATCGAGTTTTATAGGTTTTGGATCCGTTAACGGAGCGGAATTGAGGGAAAGGAAATGGAAATTTCGGTTAACTAATCTTTGTGAGTTTGAATCCGAAAGATGCCTGGATTAGCGCGGAGAAATGACCAATGGAGAAATGACCAATATAGCAATGTATCATTTGGGTTCTGGTCGACGCATAGCGATGCTGTTGGGTACAATCAGCTGCAGAAGGTATTGGGTTTTTGTTATTTATCATTTCTTTTGTAACCGTATCGTGATTATTTTGTTCTGGGGTTGGATTGAGTTTTGTGTCCATTTTGATGGGTAGTTTGAGTTTGGATTGGATCTTGCTGTTCAACTCATTTAGTTAAGGTGGTTTTGAAGTAATTTTTGTTTGGTTGATTGGAGTTTGAGTGTTTTGTTATTTCAGATCCATCCTATGATTCTATATGTTGTTTCTGGCTCTTACAAGTGTATCTAAGGAATTTGTTATCTTCGGTATATACGGTTTATGCTGTTAATGTTTCTTATGGGGTTTGTGTTTTATACCATATCCCATTTGTGCAAATACATTAGGCATGAGGATAATGTTTTCTTATTTCTTTTCTAAGCTATGACACTATTCAATCCTTCCTGCACTTCCTAGTTTTGAGTTGAATACTAAGAAATAAAAGAATTAGAGGTTGGAATAAAGCTTCAATGGAATCAATCAAAGAAGAATATGTTGCACTCTGATTTGTTGATCTCTTGGGGTATGATAAAAAAAATGTGGCTAGTTGTGAAATTCAAAATGTGGGTATGCTGATTGTTTGCGACTGGTAAGCTAGGAAATTACTGAAAAAGATTGTTTGTTAATGTAGTTGGCAAGTTTCTTCTAATGATCTTATTTATTTGTTTTTGGAATAAGAAGATTTTATATATGAGTGATTTATTATTTTTATGTTTTAATGTCAACTCAGTAACCAATCAGTGATAACATGCCACTATATTTGTATTGTAGTTCTGGAGTGACCTGTCACTGCAGGCTCGACAGGAGCTCCTCAGGATTGACAAGCAAACCCTCTTTGAGCAGGCTCGCAAGAATATGTACTGCTCGCGATGCAACGGGCTGCTGCTTGAAGGGTTTTTGCAGATTGTCATGCATGGAAAGTCATTACAGCAGGAAGGAGCAGCTAATAACCTTCCTTGCAATAGACCACGAGTCTCAAAAAGGCAGAATGATGGTGGATCAAGTTTGACAAATGGGTTGTCAGAAGAAACTCAGGATCCATCTGTCCATCCTTGGGGAGGTCTGACCACAACTCGTGATGGGTCATTGACCCTTCTAGATTGCTATTTGTACTCAAAGTCTCTGAAGGGATTACAAAATGTTAGTGCAGACTCAATTATTTTCTCAAATTTATCATTTTCTTTTCATCTAGTTGTTGATGCTTCCATTGAATCAGGTGTTTGACAGTGCTCGATTAAGGGAGAGGGAGCGTGAATTGCATTATCCTGATGCTTGTGGTGGGGGAGGTCGGGGTTGGATAAGCCAAGGATTTGTGAGTTATGGAAGAGGACACGGAACTAGAGAAACATGTGCACTGCACACTGCCAGGCTTTCTTGTGATACATTGGTTGAATTCTGGTCAGCTCTTGGTGAAGAAACTCAGCAGTCCCTCTTAAGAATGAAAGAAGAGGATTTCATTGAGAGGCTCATGTACAGGTGTGTATTTGGCTCCTTCTCGAGCTTCTTCTGAATATCATTTTCTGTATGATCTAGTGGAAGATCTGATGGTCATTGACCTAGCAGATTGGAGCTATATAAATGCTGATGGGGGAGTGGCAATAAAGAAGGAGATGATAAGTGCTTATGGCACAATCTCCATAATATACCTTGCAAAATTTTAGATAATGTCATGTTCTCTGAAAATTATTGATGTATCATGGTTGAAAAAGCTCTTTTAGATTGAGCATCTGATGATACTAGCTGCAAGGGTGCAGGTAAACCAAAAGAGGAATGCAGGTTTGGAATCTCTTAAATGAAAATTTTTGTAACTATAATGTAGAATATGACTCACAGTCATGAACTAAATAATTTCATGCTTCAGAGACTAGACAGAAAGACAGTAAGTTATATGCCCAAAGCGACAAGGATTTTTTCAGCATTGCTTTATTGCTTGTTTGATAAATGACGATGTTAGAATACAAGGTCCTAATGCTTTTGGTTGAATGAGCCATTACCTAAAGTCTGCCTTGTGCATGCTTCATGATGTGTATAAAAATAGTTTGTTCTACTTTAAAGTTCGTGGAATCTTGTTTTTGTGTATTTTTTCTATCAAATGTGACCCCTTCGCCTCCAACATTTTTGGTATGAGGAGGAGCAGAGCATTATGGCTCAAATTTGGATCTTTGTGCCAACCTAACCCCTTTCTACCACAGTACCAACTAAGGCCAGGTTGCAGTGCACTTTGTGCTTATTCTTGAATCCTTTTAAACATCAAAAAGTTTTCAATATATCCACATATATCCGCTGACCAGATGCTATCATTGACAACAGCAGATTGTACCTTTTGTTTCTTTCCCTTCATGTTTACAGCTTTTGTTTACCAACTGGATGATAGAACAATTTTGTTTCCTATTCTTGTTGTTCTTCCTCCCAGATAATTTTGTGCTGAAGTCAATGTTGAGGATTTTGCCAAAGCTCATCTGCATTCCACTTTCTCTAGGATTTATTGTGTATCATATAAGTTTTGTGGATGGTTTCTTTGTTAAGCAGGCATGGATTAAAGTATTACTCAGTAACCTTTGATTCTTGTTCCTTGAAAGATTGATTTGATATAGATTCTTGCCCATTGTTTTTAGTTGGTCATACCTCCATCCTCGCTGTGTCTTTACTGTTTCTGCTGTTTTATTCTATGTATATCTCATTTTACATCTGTGAGACAGGTTTGACAGCAAACGGTTCTGTAGAGATTGTAGAAGGAATGTTATTCGTGAATTCAAGGAATTGAAGGAGCTGAAGCGCATGCGTAGAGAAACCCGCTGCACTAGTTGGTTCTGTGTTGCAGATACAGCTTTTCAATATGAGGTGCTTCTCACATATCTTAACCTTTAAGCCGCTACTCAGCTTTGTCATTCTGTTCTTTCAATTTTTAATCAGGTCACTAAAACAAGATAGATTGCACCATTTTTCGTCAACCTTTCAAGAGTGCTAAAATTAGTTCTAAACCTTAATTTTGTCTCAGTTTAGTACCCAACCTTATTAATTGATTTCAATTGGATCCCTCCTTGTGTCCAATGTTAGTTTTTGATGACCATGTGGATCTGACTTTAAAATTCACTGCTGATTGCCAAGGAAAAGTGAGGCTCAAGAAGGTGCCACTAGGGTTTTCCATGAGAAGCTAGCAGCGAGTACATAGAGACCCAGCTGTAAACAAATAATTAAGGTTGGGGATTAAATTGAGACATAATAAAGGCTGGCCAGCTTAGATCTCTTTTAAATGGTTTCTATAAAACAATAAATGGATGGAATTATTGTATTTAGTAATTAGTTACGTTAATTAGGTTGTTACATAAATTTAATATTCATGTCAATTAAATAACAATTTTGCGTACTATTTCTGCAGATATCTGATGACACGGTCCAAGTTGATTGGCACCAAACTTTTGCTGATGCTGTTGAGACTTACCATCACTTTGAATGGGCAATTGGAACAGGAGAAGGAAAGTGTGACATTATGGAATTTGAAAATGTTGGAATGAGTGGAAGTGTTCACATCAATGGCCTGGACCTTGGAGGTCTGAGCACATGTTATATCACCCTAAGGGCCTGTAAATCAGATGACCGCTGTACTGAGCTTTCTGTCAAAGCTCATGCATTAAAGGGGCAACAGTGTGTGCATTGCAGGCTTGTAGTTGGGGATGGTTATGTTACAATCACAAGGGGTGAAAGTATCAGAAAGTTTTTTGAGCATGCCGAGGAGGCTGAGGAAGAAGAGGTACCTAGGATTTTGAGGCATATTTGCTGTCATTAGCACCTCATTTGTTAAATGTTTCTGACACTGAAATTTACTTAGGTTTCAACATCATTTATACTTTCAGGATGATGATTCCATGGACAAGGATGGCAATGAGCTGGATGGAGAATGCTTCCGCCCCCAAAAGCATGCAAAGAGTCCTGAACTTGCTCGAGAATTTCTTCTAGATGCGGCAACTGTTATATTTAAGGAACAGGCATGTATTATCTATTGAACCATTTTTTGCTCTATCACTTGCCATGTATTATCAATTTGTTTCAATTTTCACTTAAAATCTATCACTTTTGTTGGATCATACAATCTTCTTTTTATCCTTTAAAACCTCAAGTAGGTTTTCTTATAGATGACATTGTTAGTTTATAGAAAATAATGTCATTGTATAACCTGATGATTTGTTGATTACCATCAATTTTACAATTGAAAATCAGGAACTGAGGCTTGGATTGGCCTCTAACATTAATGAATTGTTCTAGAGTCTTTTTGCATGTAGAAAAGGTGTTTGTCATTTTGAGGATATGCTGAAACTGATTGTTGTTAATCTGAGGGCAATTGTGAAAGGTGCTCTTAATAACATTATTGCGGTGGATGAAGGGTAGAATACATTGAAAATTAATATTTGATATGATCAAGAAACATGATAACACATTATGAGTTAAAGCTATCCAGGTTATGAGTCTGTCACATATCATTACAAATTGTTTAGACTTCTTTAGAAGTAAAAACCACCGAAAAGCCTTCTGCAGTGTCTTCAGTTCATCAAAATCTTGTTTAACTTCCTAAATAATGCTGACTAAAAATCACTGAGTCTTGCAGGACCCTGTTTGTTATGCTCAAAAGCAAATAAGGAAGCATCTAAGCCTTTCACAATTTCTGATAGTTTATAGAGTTTTGAATATCTGCTTAATCAAATTCCACTTATGAAAATGTAGTAAGATGCCCAGCATTATGTTTAGGGTTTGTCTCTGTATGCATCTACAAATACAGTTGGAAATACCTTTAATCTGTTTGTTACCGCTGTGGTTCATGTTAGTATGAATGGAATGTAATATAGTTTATATAAAATAAATATTCCATTTGGAATAATTTCAGGTTGAAAAGGCTTTCAGGGAAGGAACAGCACGTCAAAATGCCCATAGCATCTTTGTTTGTCTTGCACTAAAGCTTCTAGAGGAACGTGTTCATGTTGCATGCAAGGAAATTATTACATTAGAAAAGCAGGTTGGGATAATTGATGATATTTAGGGTATAATTTCCTTCTATTATTAGAAAATAGGAGCCAAAGCCTGTCCTTTGGAGATAATTCTAACACCCATGCCATTTCTGCAGATGAAACTTCTTGAAGAAGAGGAGAAGGAAAAGCGTGAAGAAGAAGAACGTAAGGAGAGGAGAAGAACAAAAGAACGAGAGAAAAAGCTTCGAAGAAGGGAGAGGTTGAAGGAGAAAGAAAGAGAAAAAGAAAAAAGATGTCCAGAATCAAATCTTATTTCTGTTCTCCCCAATGTCTCAAAGGAAGAATCTTCACCGGTGGTTGACGGAGAACTGAGTAATGCAATCAACTGCAAAGAGTCTGTCAGTGAATTTGGTTACATTAATCGATTGAGGCCTGGATCTCCTGATATTGAAGAAGAGTTTCTAAATGATTGTACCTCTTCAAGTTCGCAAAATCACTCTTCTGATAGTCTTGATAGTGAAGGTTCACAAGTCAAAGATGGGAGTGGTTCTTTTACAATGGAGGAATCGAAGTTTTCTCATAGGAGATCGAAATTTCAGAAGGAAGCTCAGTTTGACCCATCTTTGAAATGGTCTGACAGGCGGCGGTTCACTATTGTTTCAGAAAATGGTCCTATCCATAGATCTGAATCAAGATGTCAGAGTGAAAGCTTTGAAGTTTCTTCCAGGGGAACCAATGGATCAAATAGGCAACTAAGAATAAATGCTACAAGGTCCATTGGTCGTACTTGTGGTCTCAAGTATAGTGAGAAGTTTCATTGTTCCAATGGTAGGGGTGACAGATATGACTCTTATTCTTTTAGCTGTAGCCAAAAAAATAAATACAGAATAAAGGGTGAGTCACATGTTTCTGCATTAAGAGCAGGTCAAGAGCCCAGATCTGTGAGCAAGCCGGAATTTGCATTGGATATGTCCAAGCAACTCTATCCTAGTCACAAGTATAATCAAGTGGAATTCATGCATGAAGATTTTGGAAGAGTAAAAGGCAAAACAATATCAGGAAACAATTCTCATGGTTGGGATTCACTTCATTTAAAGAAAGTTTGGGGGCCAACAGAATCACAGCAGAAGTACTCTCGCAGCAACTCAGATTCAGCTGTTACCTTGATGAGGTCATCTACCTTCAACAATAAAGGAGTTGGATCTGATAATAACATCTTTAAGTCATCAGGAAATGTTGCGTCATCTGGTGATGTATGTTCTTGTGATACTAGTGGAAATTCAGGTGAAATTGATCAAGAGGATAGTAAAGTTACCAAATCAAGAAACTTTAGCCATGAAATGAATGGAGACCACCAAAATGAACTTCAGGAGGAAGCCCAGATTGAGGCTTCTTATGAGAAAGATGGATTGTGTCCTTCTAGAAACTTTACCTTGAATGTGTCTTCTGATCCTATGGTGGGAAGTACTAATTCTGACAGCTGCTCCTCTTGCCTTGGTGAAGGAGATGGCAATGGGGTCTCTCCAAATCATGGAAACATGGAATCTTCTTCGACATCAGATTCTGAAGATGCCAGTCTAAAATCAGATGCAAGAGATGCTTCAGTAGGCACTCTAAACAGCTTTTCTGAGTGTCAGGAGCAAGGAATAGATAAGAAGCTGAATATTAATGGAGGGGACTCTCTTGGAAGTCAGACTTTGTTAAAGTCACTGGATGGTACAGGAAGTGCAATCTCTGGAAATATGCTGATGAAAACTGCAGGGCGTTATGAAAATGGAATATCAACTGTTACAATGGGTGCTCAACATCAAAGTGTGTTTCCACCAACGCACAACCAACATACACAGTTTCCAGTATATCAAGATCCTTCAACAATGGGTTACTACCCTCAAAATGCTGTTACCTGGCCTGCAACTTCAGCAAATGGATTAATGGTCCTTCCTCCACCAAATCACTATTTATATTCCGGACTTCTCGGTTATGGTTTAAATGGGAATTCACCCTTATGCATGCAATACGGTGCTCTACCACATCTAGCTACTCCCCTGTTCAATCCTGGCCCTGCTCCACTTTATCAGCCTGTTGCAAAAGCCAATGGCTTTCATTCTGAGGAGCATACTCAGATATCTAAGCCAGCTGAAGCAAAAGCTCCTGCTGGCACACTTCCGACAGAAACAGCAGCATGTCAAGAAGGTGATCAAATTGATAATTCTACCAACTTGCAAACGGGTAATAGTAACTTCTCCCTGTTCCATTTTGGGCCTGTAGCTTTTTCAACAGGATGTAAATCCGATCTTATGTCTTCAAAAGATGGGATTGTTGGAGAATTGTCTTCTCAGTTTTCAACAGATCATGTTGACAACAGTCATGCTAGCAGTAAGAAAGAGAATAGAATTGAAGAGTACAACTTGTTTGCGGCAAGTAACGGCATAACTTCTTCGTTGATGATAAGGAAGTTTGAGAGTTCTTTGTAATTGCGTACAATAATGTTCCTGTGAAAGAAAAATCCAATTCATACCTCATAGTCTCTATAGTTGATATTACCAGAAGACTGGTTGCATTGTTTTTCTTATAGTAGAGAAGATAAGATTGAAGAGTGAGCACTACAAAATGTTTGAGGGCGTCTTGTTATGTTAGAGGTCATATTTCTGATTAATGAAGCAGCTTTTGTATGTTTTGTTTTCTTGGATCTTCAAATGTCACATCTGCAAGCATTTCAACCTTCTAACTTTCTTCTGAATGTGGTTCGCTTAATTATTTAAGAGTCAGTAGTTATAAAGGAGAACAAAGATCAACAGTTTGGTGACTAAAATTTTATCAATTGAATCCAAAAGTTCTGAACACAATTTGGACATAACTTACATCAATCATTCAAGCAAAAGCCTATGACAAGCAAGAATAGAAACTCAGCTTCTGGGGTTACAAAAATTCAGAACAGCTAGATACAATCCGGGCTCATCTATGAATTTTTTCATCTTAAAAGAATGAGCCTCAGCAACCTTCTCTAGTGTCATCTTATCTGGCAAGTTGGAGACTATAACATCAGGGAACTGTTCTCTCTGCTGCGTTAACACTTTCCTCCCTTGCGGATGGCTAATAACCAGTCTTGCACCTGCACAAGAACAAGCCGAAGCTCACAAAAATTAGTGATAGGGGCAAAAAGTATAGCATCTTATGAACTTGAAATTGATTAAGCTACTATTTCAGAGAAGTGACAACTAATTACAAGATTGCAGTATACCTAACGGACTTCAAAGTTTAGAATGCTAATTTGTGACTGACACTTCAGATTAAAAGTAGAGGTTTATGTTTAAATAGGAGAAATGAAAAAGACTTGCATACTTCAATAGGGGTCAGGCGATATCCAACAAAAGGAGAAATGAAGAAAAGATTCAAATATTATTCTAAAAATATCCAGTACAAAATTACCTGGTGAACAACGTTTTGCCAGAGCTTCAAAAACCTGATCAAGAGTAAAGGGCAGAGCAGGAAGAAAATACAGAAACACAACATCCAGTGGTGCCCACTTTTCTGGAACATGTATCAGTTCACCTTGCCAACACTTAACTTTGTCATATTTTTCTTTAATTAAGGCCAACAAGAAAAGTGAATCATGGACAACAAGCAACATTTGGCAGGGTGATGATTCAACTAAATGGTCCACAAAACCTTCAGAACCAATTGAGACCAAAACTCTTGAAGTTCCTTCAATCTCCCCTGCAGATATTATGTTGTTAATCTGATGCTTATTCTGTTCAGTATTCAACTCATCTGAATCAAGAAAAGACCAATCTTTTTCAACAAAATCTTCAAAATTGATCACAGACGCTACTCCCTCATTTGGTGTTGCAGCACCAGGCAACCACTTTCTTTTGCAAGATGAATAACGTGAAAATTTGGATTGAAATGAAAGATTAAGAGAAGAGACATGGGAACCATGATGAAGGTTATGATCCTCGAAAATGCATTGAGGAAATAATTGCAGACTAGGTAGTGATCGGCAGGAAGAAAGTGATGGAAGAAAGAGGGAGGTAGTTAACGGGAGTGAACTCATTGAATAAAAAAGGAGCAATCACTGATGGGAATTCTCCTTGTACAAGATCAGCAACAGAAGCAGCTCCTTAACACTTGACAATGGTAATTTCAGGGTCCAGACTGAGGGGAAGGAAGTATATACTGTTACTGAGTTGACATATTTATCCTACTATCATGTGTCTCAGTCAATTGTAGATAAAAAATGCTCTTCAATCCTACTCTCCTGTAATCAATAAAACACAAATGTCAATGCTTCATTCCCTATACACAACAAAAAGAACAGATTCTCAAAAACACAAATTTATTATATATGATTTGAGTACTGAATGCCAAAATCATGATTTGAGAGTCACAATCTATAACACAAATTTCTCTTCAAAAGGCACAAAATTTATTATGTAACAAAAATATAAACTATACCCCTTAACCATAAATGGATTCCAATCCATCCCAAATAACTTAGCAGAAGCAAGCTTCCAAATTCCAAGCTCTTTGAGGTAATAACACAAACACCTTAGTGCCTTCCTCTTGATGTGCTAGGACATAGTTCCTCAAACAGCTCGCCCTTTACAACGTAAGAATGAAACGCAAAATCATTACGGAGGTGAGTAATGAAGTGGGCTTTACCTTGATGAATCCTTAGTTTAGAGAAGAAGATGATGATGTTTTGAAGAGTGAGTAAGAGACCCAAAAGGCAAAGCGCCGAGAAAGCCTCGAGCAGGAGCAAATCACAGGAAGACGGAAAGTTGGGCGGAGACGTCTACCGCCGGCTAGCGTTGGCGCTGCAGCGTCCACCGGACAAACTTGGGCAAGGAAATGCGTCTCTATGCTATCAAGAAACGGTGACTTGAACTTAAGTACTTTTTAAGTCCCTTAACTTTTTCAAAAGTGGCATTTTCATCTCTATACTAAAAAGTATGTAACACGGCCGTCCTAAAAATGCCAATCTTATCACTAAGGTGCATCAAGAAAAGTGAGTCCATGCACTTGGACCTTTGGATCTAGTGGCATCAAACCATGTTTAAGTGCATTCTTTTTCTTTCGGGTAACAGTTTGAATCCAACCTCTTGTAAAATTATTCCAAAAAAAAAAAAAAAATTGAGTTCATGGCCGACTTATAGTTAGGTGAAGTAATTTGTATTCGCATTTTAATGTGGGATTTTTATGACATATCTAAGATGGCTTCTTTGCACCATGCTCAATATGAATTTAAGACTTAAAACCTTTTACGTTATTATGTACATATTTAGTATAAATTTTAATATCTTTTACGTGATTTTAATAAATCATCTCTAATTTTTTACTTAAAAAACAAAAACATTAAAAACCATGTCAAATAATCAAAAATGAAATCATCAATATTTGAATAGGCTATCACCTTATAGAAAGATCTATGAATTGAAGAATTCATATAAACAAAAGTAATCACAATATCTAAACAACTTAACAATTGATACCGAACATGACTAACTTAAAAACTTGACTCTAGGTCCTGCTCATTGTCATGGTGAGGGGCTCAAATTACTGCAATAGCTAAGCAACTAAGTTTTCTTAGGATGATTAAAAAAAATCAAAATTTTAAACCCAAATCATATATATTTTAAACCTAAATTACTGCAATGCCCAACGAAGCTTGCCCATAATATTTGATCTGTATGGCTTCAGGAGTTCCGACCAACCCCTTGTTATGCATAGGAATGTAACTATTAATTAGTATATTTTTTATATTAAATTATTTAAAAATACTACATATATTATTTTAATTAAATAGTTAATTAATATTAAAATACATTAATTACATCCTTAATTTGTATTCATTAAGAAAGAAAGACAATTATGAATTTTTCAATTTCCAATTTTCCACTTATTAATAACTAATCTTGTATTGTACCAGTTTATTCTTTTCTATCCAACTACTACAATCACCAAGGACTTATATGTTAGTAGTTTTTATGAAAATACCATAATCATATTACTATATATCATTGTAAGATTTGTGGATTTGTTATTTTCTTGGATCATTGAACCACACTGAAGATACAATCTTGGTGGTATAATTCAAGATGAAACTACATTGGTTAAACAATAATTTTTTAATTTGGTAATATTATGATTTACATTAGTGTTAACTTAAGTCATACCATATCTATATGTCAACTCATAATTAATTATTTTTATAGTATTATTGAACTTATGTATTAAACATCCAGTATTTCTTTATATAAGGTTAAGTAAACATAGGAAAATTCATAACTAATGATATGGGATTTTCCCTCCTAACAATGATCTAGAATTTTCCTCTTAATATGAGCTTTTAGTTAATCTAAGGGCACACCCATAACTTTGTTGACTCATAGGTAACTAGTATTCTTCTTCAAGGGTTAAGGCAAACCAAACAGGCCCTAAAAGAAAAGTGTGTAACAACCATCGGCTACCCCAAAGATCATCTTTACACTACCTTAGCAGGCCAAATCTCGTCTCCAACCTCACCGTGAGGGGAAAACTAACACACAGAACATCAAACCTAACGAATCCATGCTAACATATTCATGATTATTGGTCATATGAGGTGGAGGTAATCGGGGATGGTTAGGGGGTTTACCACTTTTAGCTAGGGATACTATCTTGTGTAGTCTAATTTTTGGAGGAAAAAGTGTATAGTGCTGGACTTTAGGGATTTATTTTTTGCTTTTCTTGTATGTAGGCTCATGAAAGGCTTACTAGCACCATCTTTGCTTGTTTGGTGCTTTCTCTCAA